GAATGCAAGTCCTAGCCTTAGGCACTTACATTTCAAACGTCTATTGGTTCGAATGTGGGAAGCAAAGCTTTTTCACGTTGTGTGGCAACTGAAACAAAGACCTCTTGTATGGTATTGTAGCCATACAAGGCAGTTTGTTTTCTATTGGGTAGGAAAGATTTACTGCATGAATTCCAGCTGAAGCATCATACTAGTCTTTGTTTTTACTGTTAATTATTTATTACTTCTGAAAAGGTATAAAAGAGTTAAAGCTGGCTCTGAATTTAATTCAATGATTTAACTGTCCGTATTTCAGAGAAGAGGGCTGCTGTAACAATCCTGAAGAGGGCTGCTTCTGAACTGCACTGAACTTCAGAAATCACTGGAAGTGAAGAATACTTTGGATAAGTGGTGAGTAGTGCCTAGAAGTTGGACTTGATACTTTGGAGCAACTTCTCAAATTTGGCAATGTTCTCAAGGGTTTGACTCGGGGAGGAAGGAATAGATTTATCTTGGTATAAACCAATTTTGTGAAATTTGTAAACAAATTATTTCCTGTGCTAGTCAAGTACTCAGCTTCTATATAAGCAGTCATTTACTCTGAAATTTCTGTCTTCTTCTCCTGGTTAATAGATTTCTATGGAAAATAGCTTTAATTTTTCCCTCAATTTATATTAAAAAACCCACCTTCATTATGAAATAGAAATTCAATCTTTCCTCTTCTCAGTAGAAGAGATCAGACTGTGACTTGTACGAAATACTGAAATCCAGATACAATAAATCATCTTGTAAAGACACTTTAGGACTGATACTACAGATATAGAAAAAAAGAGACATACACATTTTTTAACACTGTCAACTGATTCATTAAGAGAACAGTTTTTTCTGGAAGCTGGCATGTCTAAATGGTTCAGTACCATAGGAATGCTCTGTGCCAAATTAAAGTCATGCCACACCTGGTATGGTATTTTAATATTGGGACTGTTTGACATTTTCCATAAACAATATAAGAAGCATTGACTTGTACAGTCTCACTTGCACCAGAATAGATCTATCTTAGCAAAACTACTTGAGAAGAAAATAATCCCTTCAGTTCTTAATGGAGTTCCGGAACACCTATTTTAACCAGATAGTTATGTCACTTACCAGGATCTAATACATAAATTGTTCTTCACATTGGATGCTCTAATTAATCAATCTTTTCATTAATCGATGGTGGATTTCTTTTGTGTGAGTGTGTACGTGTGATTTACAGTACCAGGGAGAGGAGCACATTCATTGAAGTACACGCTGTAGACTAGTGACAGAAGCACCCAGCTGGAAGTACAGGGAAGTCCTCAGCTTAAGTCTGTGACCCTTGCAAGGATGGTTCCTTTTCTGAAAGGCACAAGTGGTCAGCCACCGAGAACTTCAGCTGTGAGTTAAGTGGAAAAAGGTAGCAGCAGTAGCTCTAAAGCACACAAGCTACAGGATAGGAGTGAGATTCAAAACTTTTCTCCTCTGTCCTCTTTTACTAGAGTTTTAGTGTTGAACCAAAAAAAAAAAAAAGTCTTCTGAAGCACCTACCTATTTCCAGTACAATGCATAAGGGAACTTTGCATAGAATGCAAAGTTCTCAAGTTGGACAATTTTGCCTTCCCAAAGGCAAAAATTATTAGATGTCAGTCTACCATGACCTAATAGGACTTACTGAGTCTGTTCGGGTTATTTTTACACCATGTTTTCCAAAGCTTTGCAATTCACACCCTATTGCAGTGTTGTCTCTCTCAGTGCTTCTTTTTCCCATTTTTAAAAGAAACCAAACTATTCTGTGCTACACCTGAAAGAGGTTTACTCTGAGGAGTGCAAAGCAGTCCCTTTCCCTCCTTGAGAGGCTGTGCTGGTTTATAATTACAAGTGAATTTTGTCAGCTGGAAGCTGCTCTTCTGACTTCCACGTTTTCCCTGTGCATAGCAGTGCAATGTTGATACAGACATAATCTTTTTATACAGGTGATGTATTTTGCACTTGGGAGACAGACATGGAAGCCGTGTACACCCATCATGAGGAATTTGTGTCAGCAGAACCTTTTATATCGCAGATAAACTGTCTGAAGCTTGCTTGTGTTGTGCCTTGGGTGGAGTGACCGGTGGCTTGGTGTAAGTCCAGGCCACCTGAACAAGATGGCAAATGGGCCGTGACTGGGTGCTAGCCCAAACAGTGCTTTGCACTCAGACTGGACAACAACAATAATCAATCTGTTCCAGGTCTCATACTCTTCTTAGTTTGGGTTTTTTTTTCTTGATAACTGTGACTTATAACTCACCTTTTCTGAGGTGGTCAACTCCTTGGTGATTTTGTCATCTAACATAACAAATACAGCTATTTGAAATCTGAGTTCATCTGAAACTGCTCCCTTTGCATATTTGCAGTTTTGTGAACACAACAGCTTTCCGATAGCTGTTGTTTTTCCTCACTTGCAGTCAGTTAATGAATGCTGAATGTTCAATGGAAGTTCAAAACCAAACCTAGATTACAGTAGGTTTATTCATACCTCTCTCAAGTCAGTTTGCTGTGCCAGTCATAATGCTCCTGCTCTGCGAACGGCTGAGCCATCCTTGCCAAAGCTAACAATCTGTAGGAGTCAATTGGATTGCATGTCCTACTAATGAACTCAACCTATACATTGCTAAATAAACTGCTGGATAAGTGGGTAAGCGAACTGTAGCTCTGTAATGCTGGAATGGAAGGTGCCCCCTGGCCCGACATAAATCAGCCTTTCCTGATTGTGGGTCACCTCCTGACTAACTCTACAAGCCAGGGAGCAGACAGATCTAATCTTCCATGATAAAGAATGAATAATGAATGAATATTTCTGCATCCACAACTTAAGCAACTTACCTGGTACTAGCAATATGAAATTCAGGGGGAAGGAATACACTTTTCTGTCCTATCTGTTAAAACTTGTCAGTGAATGGCCACCAGCAGCAGCAGTTGCAAACCTCAGACTTTCATTCCCCTAAGTAGAACGTCACTTCTTTAGATTTTGTCTAAAATCTAAAGATCAGGTTTCTGCTTGCTGTAATCATGTCTCTCTTCCCTGCACACAAGTCAACAAGACTGCAAAAGTAACATTGACAAATCCGTGCAAGATTTCAGTGATTTCTACTCCCTCCCCAGCCCAGTCATTTTTTGCATCACATTGGGTGTCTGTCCTGGATATGGTAACATTCCTTTTTCTACAGTCAACTAGATATGTTTAAAAAGTTTTGAAACTAGGGTTACCCAAAATATTGGAGGGACAGTTCAATCTGAACACTTCCACGGATGGTGCACTGTTAGCAATTAAACTTCCCAGACACAACAGACATATCTTAAAAATATTTTAAAGTTTGCTCAAGGAACAAGAGAAGGATTCAGACATATAAAAAAAAATGCAGTGAGGGAAGGGAAGGCAGACACAAGTTATCCTTGCCAGAGGCTTCGCTGTGAGGTTGAGTTATGTCTCTTTAGATGCTCAGCTGTTTCTGACTGAGCCTGTGCTGCTTCTGTTTCAGTGCTATGCCCCATATACTCTTTGTCTTGTAAGTTCTTACATTCCAGTTTGATCATGCTTTGTGCTCTATCAGAACCTTCATTAATTTCATTATCTACATTATCTATGTATGAAATACTGTATAGCACGCGGGTGCTGCAGTGAGCAAGTCTGACATTTTTGGTATGCTTGTTAAATGTGGCATGGGACAGGTGAACTCTTTGATGATGAGACTAAGCATCTCTCATAAAGTGAAATACATTTGCCTTGAAAGCTTTTTGAAGAGTAATTTAGCAGGAATTGACTAAGGCTCTTTGCAGCAGAGGGAAAGGAATTGTTTGCAGGTTTTCGGTATTGACTGCACTGGGAGGTAGAGAGGGAAGAAGGTAATTTTTCTGGCTTTAGCATTTATAGGATGCTGTCACGTCTCTAGCTTCTCTTGCTTAAAAGCTCAGCCTGATTTCTTGGAACCATCTGAAATAATGACCCCAGCACTGCCAATGGCAGTACTTCTATCAGACAGAATTCATTCGTAGAAAACCTCTTGCATGTGTGATGGCCTCAACACAATTTCTACTCCAACCTGCTGTTTCACTAAATTGACTGTTCCTCCCTGTGTATCATAGCTCACAATCTTGTAGACTCTTGTCTACAAGACAACTTATATTCAAGACTGGATCTATCGTTACCATAATGTCCAAGCAAGCAAAGGTCTTGAAACGTGCTGTCATCTCAAGACGCTGAGATAGAAGAACCCAGTAATCCATATTCCAAATGAACTGAACTGACTGACAGACTGCCCAAGATCATACAATGAAGCACAGTGTAAATGACAGATAATCCACTGTCTCCGAAACCCCAGAAATCTGTTTAGTTTCTTAATAAATGATGATTAAAATGTCCTTTAACACTATTAAAGCACATATGGTTCTGTTCAGGCAAGAATTTTCTTGACAGAGCAGTAAATAAATGGACCCCTCCTTTGCAAATGCATTCAGGCAATGCCCCAGCTAATATAAGATCTAATAATCATTAGAATCACACCACTAATTAATCCAAATGTCCTGTCTGCAACCCAAGCATAGTAATGTAGTTTCACCTGAATATCTAAACTCCTTTTGTAGTTGCAGTGGTCTGATGTTCCTATTCTAACAGAGACAGCGTGTCCACTGAAGGGCCTGGTATCATAGCTTTTTTCCTCTTCATGCTTTAGTTGTGGTAAGAACTACTATTCCTGCTCCAAAAAGCATGTGGCCCTCCGCATAGACTACTTAAACACAGTTAACATGTATTTTTGGTTCCTTTTAACTGCATTCAGTTTGGTGCTTCTGTGCCTTCCTGAAGGAGGGTCTGACTTTTGAAGGGAGTAGCTAGGCTTCTTATACACTTTTTCAAGTCCTTCCTGTGTCAGATTTATGATTTTATTAAAAAAAAAAATTGCCTCAGCTGAACAGTACCACAACTTTCTCTCTTTTCTTCCTCAGTTATTACCTAACAAGGTAACAGAATGGAGAACAAACAGCAAAGCAACAGTGAGATGAAAGAAAATAAGGCAGTGAAGAAAAAAATGGTGAGTGAATTCCCCAAATCTTCTGCTAACACAGTTATTTGCTATTTGGGGACTGGAGGCAGAAAATAACTATTTGGAACCTATATGAATACTTGCAGGCATGGACTCAGCATCCTAAACACAGGAATTCTGCTGTTTCCTTTCTCCCTTTGGTACCTAGACTGCTAATGGCCTTACTGTGCAGCTGCATCACAGGCCTCTAGTTTTTTTCTCTGTTTCTCTTTATATGTATGTCTAGTTTTGAACTAGCCAAAAAACTGTTTAGGCAAACCATTCTGGGATTGCGTGACTTTAGGATAGGTTAAAGCCTCACTTTTATGGGAGGGACTCCGTCACTGAGGACAGTGGTAACATTTTGGAGGAGAGTTTCTGTGCCTTCAAAAGGAAATTTGTGGAGGATGTATTGTGTGGAAAAAAAGCTTTGATTTTGTCTCTGACACCTTTCCTCTACAAGAATCTGCAAAGCTGTGCATTCTTCCCCTTTTTCCCCTTCCGCTCTGACTTGTAAGAGAAGAGCAAACTGATGCTTCTTTCCACGGGAACATGGAGATTTGAGCAAGGGGAAGCTGCCAGGATGAAAATTTGAGGGCTGTAGAGAGCAGCATGTGTTTAGTTTCTGTAACTTACTAACAGCGACTGTAAAAGGTCAAAAAATGCAAGTGTGCTAAGGTGAGAAACAATGTACGTATTAATCACACGCAGCCATATTATTTGTATTTGAGTATGAACTGAACTACTTGCACTGTGCTATTTAAAATGAAACTAAATAAAACACAGGTGTCTGATTCACCTCAAATACACTCCATGTATTTTAGAGGCTTGATTCTCCTAACTTGACTTTTTTTACTGCTTATGACTGTTCAAAGAGATTATAAATGATGTCCAGATCATCTATCTATGCTGACATTTATCAATATGTACGATAATTTTACATGTTAATGAGTAGCATCTGGCTATTCAAACACTGCTCAGCTTGATCCGAGCCAAAGACACTTCAAAGTTGCTGCATCATAACCTGCTTTCAAACCTCCAGTGGTTTATGGCATTACTTATTGTGTCTCTGAGAGCTCTGAGCTAGTTGTGAGGTATGTAGCATGTCAGAAGTGGAAACAACACAGATTTACACCAATATTAACTGCAGTCATCTGGGAGTAGCTCCCAGATGCACTTAATACTCATCCATTGCCAACTAGGTGTAGTTTAACTCTTAGCAGTTCAAAATCCCCATGTTTGCAAACAGGTACTTTCAAAAGTAATAGCTGAAAGCTTTTATCTTCCCCAGGTAGCACGTCTAATCACCGTCTGTTGCACAGCAGTACTGTGGCGTGTCAGAGCTAAGCCTCCTAAGGCGGTGGAAACATCCATATACCACGTAGTTAACATCTTAATTGGCTACAAGTCTCGTGGTATCTTCACTTTCCAGCCTCTGGCAACACGGGAAAACGCTTCCCCTCCTTACTCTAGCGTCTTGCTTACAGAAAGGCAGCCTAGGTTTCCAGCCGGCACCCGCGGCGTGCGTACCCCCTGCCAGCCGGGGTCCCCCAGCCCCCGTGCCACTCGGCGGGGGGCCGTGAGGAACGCCCAGTCGTGGCACTTCCCTGCGCTGCCGGGTAGATGCCTGCTGAGGGAAGAGGCCTGCCGGGAAACCACACGCACGGCGCCGGGCACGGACATTTGCTGAAGTTATGTACAAGCACGCAGATAAATGACCTCGGGCTGTTCCATCCTCTGAGCCCTGCCTGCAGCCCC